AAAAAAAAAAACCATTTGAATATTTCAACCACAGAATTTAAACACTTTTATAAAACACATAAATCATGAGTCAACTTTTTTTTCTGTCAGGGGAAAAAAATACTGGAGAAAGTTTGGGCTTTAGGGGGAATTCAATAAAATTCAAACCTCTTTTTCAAAAGAGCAACCTAAGGAAATAGCAAACACTTATTTTAACAATCAAACGTATCTGTGTGGAACCATAAAAAAATATAATACTGTATAAAAATGGAAATCTTATCAGGAAAAAAGAAAATATTGTAGAAATTACATTCTGAAGATAACTATAACAAGTACAGTTAGCTTGGTGTAAATTTGGAAAGCCTATTCAGGCAAATGACACTTCTCTTCAAACTTCTACATAAAATTTCAAAATATGAAGATATACCATTAATGTCAAACACAAGCAAAATTTGAAATAAAAACCCTTTAAATTACAGGCCTTAATTCAAAATGTACTTTACTTGAATTCAAAATCTAAAAAAGGTCATTTTATGCTCTTTTAAGGATGTTTAAAAAAAATGAAGTACAGTACAGTATATGAATACAGTACAAGATTGTTTTTGTGTTCTTTTTTTGGACTCTTTTTCATAGCAAAAAGGTCAGATGTTATTTGCTTATGCAAAGAAATTTTCAGAATCTTTGAATTCAAGAAAACAAATATTTTGGAAAACTTTTTCAATAATTTTCCTAACTGGTCAAGGGACAAAAAATGTTTTCATTGAAGTCAATGGGAAAACGTGATATGACAAAGGGATGTTCTGACACATACAGACACATTACAATGATTACAGTAATTAAGTTCACATCTTGGGTACACACAGTTGCTGTTACAAGATTCTATGTTACTGCACAACTCAATATTGAATCTTGTCAATGAATCATTGAAAATGTTTTTAACCTGTAAAGGTACAGTATTTCAGTTAAGAATCAGAATTGGATTATGAATTCAACACATCACAGAAAATTCCATTCACAAATTATCAAGTACAGTTAAACAATAAATCAATAACAAAAAATGCTCTGCAGTGAAATCTTGTTCCAACATTTTATCCCAGATGTATAGGCCACAAAAATGTCAAAATAATCTCATCACAACTAAAAAAATAAATAACAGACATTTCAGAATATCAGCTCCAATTCATTCAAAAATCTTAAATTTCATATAATTATCTAAAGAACTTGAAGAAAATATTTAGGACGGCCTTCAATCAAAAGTCACTTTTAAACGTTGGAACTGCTTTGAACCGGACTTGAATAATGAACGCACAACCAAACACAATTACCAGTCCAAAGAATGCCAGGAATGCTGATGAAACTTGAACAAAAAACAAAACACTGGAGCCGATCAATCTTCAACAGAAGTAGAAACACGAGAACCATAAACCAGGGTTCTATTGCGCCAGTAAATTCCCTTCAGAAGTACCCAAACGAACTTGAACTCAAATCGACCAAACACGCCATAAGGAAAGGGATTATTATTGCAGTATACTGTTTTATCATTATTGTCATAATTATTATGTTATCGTTATATCCTGCAGAAAAAGGACTGATAATTTATTAAACCTTTGCAACCATTTTATTCCTTCAGCCATGAAGAAATATGGAATTAATGGCTCAGTATTCCATTCAAAACCAAAATTATTTGACAAAAAGTTTTTTTTTTTTTGAAAATCCAACTTTTTAAGCTATACAGAAAAAAGGTGACAAGAAATTCAACATTGCAGCTTTTGAAAAATAAATGAATGCAAATTTGGTGTTATCAAATTTTTTTTTAAAAAGATTTGCTGTTACAAGATTATATGTTACTGTACAACTCAATGTTGAATCTTGTCAATGAATCATTAAAAAGGTATTTAACCTGTAAAGGTACAGTATTTCAGTTGAGAATCAGAATTTAAAAATGAATTCACCACATCACAGTAAGTAATTTCACTGCAATCAAAACTAAACAATAAAATAACAACAGAAAATGCTCTGCAGTAAACAATTTGTTACAACACTGTCATTGGGAACTTATCAACGCCTTTGTTATAACAAAAAAGCTTTATATATAAATGTTGCTCTTCTACAATGAATTTATCGCGCTTAAGCACTTTTTATGACAAGATTTCACTGTCCTGTATTTTACTTCAAAACAGGAAATTGTTAGTCAGCACAAAAAGCTCTAGTTTGACCATAAAAAAAACATTCAATATATAAATAAATAAATAATTAAGAATACAAACCCAGAGTTCTTTTGGGAAGGCAAAGAAAGGCAGAGCCCCAAGCATCAGAAGGATCCCACAGACCAGGAATCCTCCCCACCACAGCCCAATCCATCCTGGGTCACTCACATCTGCAGAATGAGAGAGAAAAACAACTTATGTAATTAAGACAAATCCATTCATGAAAGGAATAATCTCCTCAGTCGCCTTCCCCCACACACATCCTACAAAGTTTCCCTCTTAATCACAAGCTCAGCATGAGAGGTGTCAACACCCCCAGATGTGGGAAGCCATCTTTTTTTTGAGAATTTTGATCAAAGAGCTCATAGAGCTTCAATGGCCAAAGATTGACACACTAAAATATTTTAAAACAAAGCTTTTCAAACACATAAAAATAATTGAAAATTTAATAATAACAAGACTAAGAAGAAAGTATGCCCATTCCCTCAGAAATGGGCATACTCTGAGGAATTAAAAAAAAATTAGCAATTAGCAAGAATGTGTCACAAGAATAATAACTCTAGTGTCCTGGAAAAATCAAAATGTCACCAACAAAAAAGTATAAAACTTCAAAAAGCTTGATTTTTAATGGACAAGGACCTTCAATTTTTCAAATGCTTTGTCTCAATGAGATTCCAATGCAATGAGATTTGTTGCAACAAGAATCAACTCTGTTTTACAATAAACCATCAAACAGTTGAAATAATCTTGTCAACTTGTTGATCCAGTTGTTCAGACACACATTAAAAATGTCTGCAAAACACATTATAAATTCATTTGTTTTCCAATACAGTACTGCCAAATAAATGGGACCAAAAAATATGTTTCTTTTTGTGAAAAAAAAAATCAAATAAAAGGTCACATAGAAAACGTGTCTCTACAGAAAATATTCCCAAAAGGAAAACATTCACAGGTAATTCAAATGTATACCTAGTGACATAAAATGGTCATTTTAATCATAAACCAGGAATGAATAATTAAAAAGTGAAACATTTATATTACTGTATATTCAACATAAATGAGAATTAACAAAACTTTAGAGAAACCCCTGGCAGATAAACTAGAATTTTGTTACAACGAATTCCATCAATTACAAATGTGCCTTTTTTCTTTTTAGGTCCCAGCAGTCCAATGTCAACAATTTAAAAATACAGTAGTTCCTTTATAAAGAATTTCTCCTTACAACGAAGCTAATTTCCTTTGAACCCAATAGCTTCGTTGTAACGACGAAGTTTCCCTGTAAAACGCAGCTTAGCAATTCCGCATTTCTTTTTCCCAGAAACGAAATAAATCCTGATCCATTCTCCTGTTTTTGGCACGCAAACACAGCAAATTACTCTCACTTCCCACTCGAATCCCCCGATAATTGGATCGCCTGCAAATGAAGCGGGGGGAAACTCGTGGTGCTGGGAACCCTTCTTTTTCATTTGCTGTCCCTTCTTCTTATGGGTTCCCAGTATCGAAAAAAAAGTCTCCTATTGCGTCAAATAACCCTTACCCAAAAATGGAGAGAAGAAGAAGAAAAAATAAAATGGGGGAGGGGGGGGGGGGGGAAACCCTTCGCCGAAAGCGATTTACGACCCGTCATTACAACGCTGCCTGGAGCAGAAAACCCGTCAATTTGCTCCCAGTAATCCCTGGCTGGGTTCCCGAGAGGAGAACCCTGACAAGTACTCGGGTCCCTCGGGGCCAGTTTTCCTCTATTTCATCTCACATGGTCAAGCACGACGTCTTTGCGAGAATGTCAATCTTTCACCCAAACTCAAACCCATCCCCCCACCCCCTGCATTTCTTTTTTTTTACGGGTTCTCAAATGGGGTTCGTGTGTCACGAGGAGCCAACTTTTCTTGCACAAGTGAAACTATGGAACAGCTGATGGCAATTACGAAGCTCGAGAAAAATATATGAATATTCAGAACCCAGTTTCTCACACAATTGATTACATATTATAAAAGTAATTTAATTTGCACATCGCTTCATCAATTTGCCAATTTTCCAGTGAAATTACTGGATGATATTTAAATTTATTTCATCCAAGAGACGCTCGAGACTGAGGCGAAGAAGCAGAATTTTGCCATTTTTCGGAATAATGTTTTTGACCTCCATCAACCAGTCGAGAGATTTTGGCGATCTCCGAAAATTCTGCAAATATTTCTTTGGACAACAGGAAAAAACTTCACCTTTTTAACTGCTGGTGAATCATCTCCAATTGCATATGTAAATTATGCTCATCAAAGCATTAAAACAAACCAACAGAAATTCCTTCTCATAAAGTTAGTTGATTTTTTTGGGCTCCACTTGATATTACGAGGGGCTCAACAAAAGTTCTCAACCAAAAGCATTTGACACAAAAAAAAAATTCAGCGCAATTTTTTTGCGAAAATCACAACTCAGACATTTTTAGGATAAAAATGGAAACAGCATAGGATTTAGCTGAAAAATATCATTTTCTGACAAGAAAAAAATTCAGCCCAGTTTCACAAATTTTTTGGAATTTTTTTTAAAGTCACAGATTTGAATTAGGGATACATTTTTCTTGCGCCACAGAAAATAATTTCTTTCTATTTTTTATAGCTTTTCAGCTTGATCATATACCGTTTCCATTATTCCAAGAACTTTTGTTAGGCCCATTGCGCAGTAAAAAGCTGAAATAAATAATAAACGCAGGATTCAGCCTTTGACATTTAACCTGATGTTGATCCCGTTTGCTTCATTTGAAAAGTTAATCAGCGAAGAGATGATAACCCTAGGGGAATCTCCTCGAGTTCCCAACAAACAACATCAAATAAAAAAAAATCTTGCTCCTGCAAAAGAAAACCCTACATATTTGCACGCGCGCAGAAACCTGAAGAACATGAGGGGTGGCAAAAAAAAAAAATCAATGCGTGGCTTGTCAGTAAGAGACACGCACAACATTTGCAATTACAAGCTTTCAGCAAAAATAACAGCACATATATAGAGAGAACAGAAGCCAGATGCTCATCTGGGCACTGAATGAACGTCACCCGATCTCACGCCATGTTTGGGGGGGGGGGGCACCAAGTCTGGGGTTCCATAAAAAAGTTTCTCAATTCCAAAGGTTCTGTTATAAAAAATAAAATAAATAAATAAAATTAAATATTTCCTCAATCAACAAGCAATTTTTTTGGCAAAACTGATAATGGGGAAAAGGTGGTGCGCATCAGAGGTGGGTAGAAATATTTTCAACAGTTCTAAAAATTTGAGCAATCATCATACTGCACATTATTCAGATGGGAAATTTTGGATGATATTTCAACCAAAAACTTGCTGAATTGGAAACACTAGAAAATTAGTTGATCACAGTTGCTCAATTCCTTTCCAAAATCATTGCAATTTTAAATTAAACGCCATGTTTGGGAGGCACCAAGTCAGGTGTACCATCAAAAAGTTTCTGAATTCCAAGGGTTCTCTTCAATAAAAGAAAACTACCGTATTAATTTACTCAAGTAACACACGAATATTTTCTTTGCAGAATTGAGAAGGGGGAAGAAGAAGGTGCGCATCAGAAGTGGGTAGACATACTTCGAACAGTTTTAAAAATTTGAGAGATCATCAAAATTTTTTCTGATGGGAATTTTTGATGATATTTTCAACAGAAAAAAATCACAAATTATTTTTTTAGTGTCACCAGGTACCATAAAAAAGTTTCTGAATTCCAAGGGTTCTCTTCAATAAAAAAAGCACAAATAAATGCGATATTTACTCACATACCAAGCAAATATTTTCAATCAACCTCAGAGGGGAGAAGGGTACCTGTTACACGTGGGTAAACATTTTTCAAAAACTTCAAAAATGTATGTGCTTGTGCAGTCATAAATTTTTTTCTAATGATAAATTTATTCATCACATCTCAAGAAAAAACTTGATACATATGAATTAGTTGAATTCGGGTTTAAATCATGCCTAAATTCAAATTTTGCTCTTCTTACTTTATACATTTTGCAGTTCGAGAGTCACTAAAAATGAGGCGCGAGTTTTAATTGGGGATAAAATGTACACAAAATTTATGCATACAGTAATCGAAAAACTCTGAATTCTGACAAGTGAAAAATAAAACATGTACCGGTACATCAATCAATCCAACAATACAGTTACTCCTTTCTAAAAGCATTTAAATTTGAATTTTCTGCCCTTCGTTTTCTTCGATAATCTAATGTTCAAGAATTAAGAAAAATGAAAAAAAAAAACCCACTAACATTTTGAGATTTCGGAGCAAGAAAAATTTTGTAGATGTCAATTTCATTCCCCCCCTCAAAATTTCTGTTGAACAGGTCGTCTCTGAAGCAAGAAACCAACAGTAAATATTTCGTCAGGAACAACAAAACTTTGAGATTTGCCCCCGGGGTCCCGTATACAGTATAAGAAGAGACACACGTTTGGCAAACAAGAACCAGATGCTCGGGGGGGTTTTGGTTTTCGAACCCCCCGCGAGGGCTTTGGCACGTACCGACATTCTGGAAATCGTTCATGTCGCTCATGTACGAGTCCGCGTGGAAGGACAGCAAATACGCCCCCAGCAGGAATCCGCACACGGGTCCAAATGCTCCGAAACTGAACATGAATCCTGAAAATAAAAAATGAATAAATAAAATTGCACGAATCAGAAAATCATTTCCAAACTTGCGATTTCAATCCTAATTGAGATGTTGGTTGAATTTGGTGCAGTACGAATAAATTGTGATCGCCGAGTCGGAAAACACAAAAAAAAATCGAGACGCAAGTTTTCGAGGGAAAAACCAATAAAAATTTGGCATTTATTTAAAATTGCACGAAGAACGTACTTCTAAATCGAAAATTTATTACTCTAATGATTATCAAATGGTTCGAGAATTTTCCGTAAAATAGCTCAATTTCCTGAATAACCAATTCCGGAGGATTTTTATGTGGAAGCAAATTTTTAAATTTATCCAAGAAATTGCTTTCATTTATTCTCAGGCAAAAAATACCACTCAATAAAGACTTTCAAAAATGAATCCAAAAATAAACTATACCCCGTGCAAGAAAACGCTTCAACGAAAAAGAAAAAAAAACAGTTCTTGAATACGAAAATTATTTTTCAAAGAATGACGAGCTACATAGAAAGGCTAACACGGTCTAACCAACGAAACTCAAAATTTTCCAGATACAAATGTATGCGAGATAAACAAGTTCAAGGAAATTTTTCGTTGTTGAACAAATGATTGTCCCTGAAATTAAATTGGTTGAATAATTATTATTTCCTCCATTTTTAAATATGATATTCATTCATCGAAAAAATTAAATAAAATTCGAAATTTTCCAATTCGGCAATCACAATTTATTCGCACTGAATCAAATTCAACCAACATCTCGATTAAAATTGAAATCGCCAAAAAAAATCGCCCAAAAATTGTTCCTAGCTTTTGGAGAAACTTAAACTTCTCTTCTAAATTAAAAAATACAATCGTAATAACCAGCGGGAAAATTATAAGCCATTTACATTTTCCAAGTTGAATAATAGTACAGTACTGTACTGTACATTAAAAAAATAAATAAAATAAAAAACGGAAAACGTTGTACAGCAGATGAATATTGGCCAATTTTCTCTTTCTTCGTCGGTCAAGTTATTCGGTCAGTCAGTCAGTCTTACCAATGTACATGGCAGAGCTCTCCTTCTTGACATGGTCGTCGATGTACGTGGTGCCCAGTGTGAACAACGGCGAACCCCCGCAACCCAACAGCAATTGGGCCACCATGAAGATGAAGACGGGCAACGCGTTCGACGGGTCGCCATCAATGCAGTTTTCTCGCTGACCAGGCAAGTGGTTCCCAGCCGATAAATGCGGCGACGACAGTCCTGAAAATAAAAATAAATAAAAAAGTAAATAAATGACAATAAATTATACGGAATTTTTGATAAAATTTGTTTTCAAGTGAACTTCGGCAAGCAGTCGTTTTCATCGAATAAATTTTCATCCACGTTTTGTCACGAATTATTATTAATGCTATCATCATCCTTCTGCGCATCCAATGTATTCAACAAATAACCAAAAAAAAGAGACACCAAATTTTAATTGCAGTTAACCCGCATGAATTTGCCTAACTCTTATACAAAAGCATTCATCCATTCATTCTTTTTTCTTTCTTTCCATTTTCTTCCCTTACTCGGAACGACACCGACAAAATGAATTAATGGAAATACCGTAGGTGAATAAACTGCGTATTTTGCAACATGGAGCCATCTCTTTTTTTTTTCTTTTTTTTTTTTTTTTTAGAATCTTATTTTCCGCTTCCCACCATTCAAGTCAGAGTGCGGAGAAGAGGACGAAGAAGAAGAAGAAGAAACTTGCTTGATTGCTACGGCCCAAAACTTTCCTCATCTTCTGGCAAGAGAAACCTTTTATGGTTAGAGGCTCTTTTTGGATGTGCAATCAAGTCAAGCCTGGTCTCGTCTCGTCTCGTCTCGTCTCATCTCATCAGCTTACCGACAAATCGCAACTTTTCTTCTCATCGGAAGGAAGGCACAGGCAACGGAAGTTTTTTTTTCTTTTCAAGGTGGATTTTTAGAGGTACAATTTAGGCGTTAAAAGCGGAACTGCGAATTTTAGCATCATTTTTGGATAGAATAAAAATTATTTTTTTAGCATAATTATTCCGGAATATTTGCACGGAAGTGCACTTCAAACAAATGGCAAGTTTCTTTTCATCCGCAAGGACCAAAAGGATGATTTCTTGGGAGGAAAAATGTTTATTCTACGAAGGTATTCGAAAGCAGATATTCAAAATGGAGAACTGAGAATTTCCGGAAGATTATTTCAGAAGACCGGAAGTTTAATTATCGAGTCTTATTAATTGCCACATTTCTAAAAAATCGTAACTTTCTTCTCATCGGAAGGCACAGGAAAAGAACGCTTTTTTTAAACAGGGGATTTTGATAAGTACATAATTTAGGTCTTGGAAGAAAATATTTAAAAAGCGGAACTGAGAATTTTAGCACCATTTTTAGATAAAATAAAAAGTAATTTTTTTAGCATAATTATTCCGGAATATTTGCACAGAAGTGCACTTCAACAACAGCTTTTCAACAACTTGCGCAAGTTTATTTTTATCTGAAATCATAAAGAGGATGATTTTTTGGGAGGAAAAAATGCTATTTCAACGAAATCGAAAGCAGATATTCAATAGGGAGAAATGAGAATTTCCAGAAGATTTTTTGCAAAAGACCGGACGTTTATTAAATGATTGAGTCTTATTAATTGCCAGATTTCTAAAAAAAAATCGCAATTTCTTCTTATCGGAAGAGAAAGAAAGGAACGCATTTTTTCACGGGGATTTTTAAATTTACAATTTAGGCATTGAAAGCAAATATGTAAAATGGGGAACTGAGATTTTTAGCAGATCCTTGAATCAAATCCATGTCATTATTTAATAATGACTATTGCGGAAAATGCTCTTCAACAACAGCTTTTTAATGAATTGCAAGCTTCTTTTAATCTAAAAGCACGAAAAAATGCTTTCCAATAGGGAATTTTTTAAATTTATACAATCTAGGTATTTTGAAAGCAGATATTCCAGAAGGAAAAACTGAAAATTTCAAGACGATTTTTTCAGAAAATTGGAAGTTGCATAATTTTCCGGATATTTTTAAAATACTGTACTTCACCTCCTGAAAGACTGCATTCGCATACAGTATTTATAAATTAATTAAATATATGAATTCTCCAACAAAATCAGGGGACTAAACAGTCACAATGTTTCAACAGTACAACAAAACTGAAGTCAAAGAGCCCAGCTGCTCATTAGGATAATGCACCATCTTTCTTTTTTTAAAACACGTGATGCAAGAACACTGAAAAAATAAACCAGAGCTTGTGGGTTTCAAACGGATTTCTTCCCGTGAAAAGCACGGAAAAATTGAAATTCCTGCGGCGAAGTGGGTTTCGTGTTACGCATAATTTCGAGAGACGGGGAATAATAAAAAAAAAAAGGCAGTTTCGTGACAAAGAAAATAGCTGTAAAAAACATGAGAATTTTTTTTTTGTGTATGTCCAGGATGCTGAAAAACAATTTGTGCAGAAAGGCCTCATTTCTCAACGACATTTCCCAGCCTTTTGAAAGAAACTAATCGTCTATGAAGAAATATGAGGACGCCTTATTGGGATGCAAGGGGCTTTGAAAAAAGGCACATTTGTAATTGATGGAATTCGTTGTAACAAAATTCTAGTTTATCTGCCAGGGGTTTCTCTAAAGTTTTGTTAATTCTCATTTATGTTGAATATACAGTAATATAAATGTTTCACTGTTTAATGATTCATTCCTGGTTTATGATTAAAATGACCATTTCATGTCACTAGGTATACATTTGAATTACCTGTGAATGTTTTCCTTTTGGGAATATTTTCTGTAGAGACACGTTTTCTATGTGACTTTTTATTTTATTTTTTTTCACAAAAAGAAACATATTTTTTGGTCCCATTTATTTGGCAGTACTGTATTGGAAAACAAATGAATTTACAATGTGTTTTGCAGACATTTTTAATGTGTGTCTGAACAACTGGATCAACAAGTTGACAAGATTATTTTAACTGTTTTATTGGTCTATTTTAAAGCTAAGTTATTCTTGTTGCAAGAAATCTCATTGCAATGGAATTTAATTCTGTGGAAATATGTTAAAAAGTTGAAGGTCTATCATGAGTAATAATGCTATTTGAATTTTGGCAGTGTTTAATACTTTGTTGTTGTTGACATTTTTATTTTTTACAAGGTTTTTGGTGCAACGAGATTTTATTTTTGTTAAAAATACATTCCTGCTAATTACATAAGTTTTTAGAATTCCTTAAAAAATGGGCACATTTTTCTCTAGTCTTGTTAAGACTAAATTGTCACTTATTTTCATGTAGGTTTCTAGAGCTTTGTTTTAAATTTTTTTATCTTTGGCCATTGAAGCTCTGTGAGCTCCTTGATCAAAATTCTCAAAAAAAAGATGGCTTCCCACCTCTGGGGGTGTTGACACCTCTCATGCTGAGTTTGTGATGAAGAGGGAAACTTTGTAGGATGTGTGTGGGGGGAGGCGACTAATGAGATTATTCCTTTCATGAATGGATTTGTCTTAATTACATAAGTTGTTTTTCTCTCTCATTCTGCAGATGTGAGTGACCCAGGATGGATTGGGCTGTGGTGGGGAGGATTCCTGGTCTGTGGGATCCTTCTGATGCTTGGGGCTCTGCCTTTCTTTGCCTTCCCAAAAGAACTCTGGGTTTGTATTCTTAATTATTTATTTATTTATATGTTGAATGTTTTTTTATGGTCAAACTAGAGCTTTTAATGCTGACTAATAATTTCCTGTTTTGAAATACAGTAAAATAAAGAACAGTGAAATCTTGTCATAAAAATTGCTTAAGCGCGATAAATTTATTGTAGAAGAGCAACATTTCTATATAAAGCTTTTTTTTGTTATAAAAAAGGCTTTGATAAGTTCCCAATGACTTTGTTGTAACTAAAGAGCATTTTCTGTTGTTAGTTTATTGTTTAACTGTACTTGATAGGCTTTGAATGCAGTGAAATTATTTACTTTGATGTGTTGAATTCATAATTAAATTCTGATTCTCAACTGAAATACTGTACCTTTACAGGTTAAATACCTTTTTAATGATTCATTGACAAGATTCAACATTGAGTTGTACAGTAACATGTAATCTTATACCAGCAAATCTTGTTTTAAAAGAATTTTGCTTACACCAAATTTTGTATTTTTTTTTCAAAAGATGCAATGTTAAATTTTCTTTTACCGTTTTTCTGTATAACATAAAAGTTTGATTTTCAAACCTGTATTTAAAAAAAATCTTTTTTGTCAAATATTTTTGATTTTGAATGGAATACTGAGCCATTAATTCCATATTTCTTCATGGCTGAGTCCTTTTTCTGCAGGATATAACGATAATATAATAATTATGACAATAATGATAAAACAGTATACTGCAATAATAATCCCTTTCCTTATGGCGTGTTTGGTCGATTTGAGTTCAAGTTCGTTTGGGTACTTCTGAAGGGAATTTACTGGCGTAATAGAACCCTGGTTTATGGCTCGGGTGTTTCTACTTCTGTTGAAGATTGATTGGCTCCAGTATTTTGTTTTGTGTTCAAGTTTATTCAGCATTCCTGGCATTCTTTGGACTGGTAATTGTGTTGGGTTTGTTCGTTTATTATTCAAGTCCGGTTCAAAGCAGTTCCAACGTTTAAGAGTGACTTTTGATTGAAGGCCGTCCTAAATATTTTCTTCAAGTTCTTTAGATAATTATATGAAATTTAAGATTTTTGAATGAATTGGAGCTGATATTCTGAAATGTCTGTTATTTATTTTTTTTTAGTTGTGATGAGATTATTTTGACATTTTTGTGGCCTATACATCTGGGATAAAATGTTGGAACAAGATTTCACTGCAGAGCATTTTTGGTTATTGATTTATTGTTTAACTGTACTTGATAAGTTGTGAATGGAATTTTCTGTGATGTGTTGAATTCATAATTCAATTCTGATTCTTAACTGAAATACTGTACCTTTACCGGTTAAAAACATTTTCAATGATTCATTGACAATATTCAATATTGAGTTGTGCAGTAACATAGAATCTTGTAACAGCAACTGTGTGTACCCAAGATGTGAACTTAATTACTGTAATCATTGTAATGTGTTTGTATGTGTCAGAACATCCCTTTGTCATATCACGTTTTCCCATAGACTTCAACGTAAACATTTTTTGTCCCTTATCCTGTTTGGAAAATTATTGAAGAAGTTTTCCAAAATATTTGTTTTCTTGAATTCGAAGATTCTGAAAATTTATTTGCATAAGCAAATAACATCTGACCTTTTTGCTATGAAAAAGAGTCCAAAAAAAGAACACAAAACAAGCTTGTACTGTATTCATATACTACTGTACTGTACTTCATTTTTTGTTAAAAACATCCTTAAAAGAGCATAAAATGACCTTTTTTAGATTTTGAATTCAAGTAAAGTACATTTTGAATTAAGGCCTGTAATTTAAAGGGTTTTTATTTCAAATTTTGCTTGTGTTTGACATCAATGGTATATTTTCATATTTTGAAATTTTATGCTCTTCAAACTTCTCTTCACAGTAAACGGACTTATCCGAAAGGTTTAAATGTGGTTCGATTGACATGAACAATATCAATAGAAGTCTTACATTAAAGATGTTATAAAAGAAAAAAGGACTATTCTAAACCATTTTTATACAGTATTATATTTTTTTATGGTTCCACACAGATACGTTTGATTGTTAAAATAAGTGTTTGCTATTTCCTTAGGTTGCTCTTTTGAAAAAGAGGTTTGAATTTTATTGAATTCCCCCTAAAGCCCAAACTTTCTCCAGTATTTTTTTCCCCTGACAGAAAAAAAAGTTGACTCATGATTTATGTGTTTTATAAAAGTGTTTAAATTCTGTGGTTGAAATATTCAAATGGTTTTTTTTTTTTGGTCGCAGCGGGAAAAGGAGAAGGTGAGGTTGGACGAGAAGAACGTGGTGGTGATGAAGGATCGTCGACCCCGTTTGGGTAGCAAGAACCCGTTGCCGTCGTCGCAGCAACCCGGCATACTCGACACGAGTTTCGGCAACCCTGGCACAACAGCAGCAGCGCCCATAACAACAGCAGCAGTAGCAGCGCAAACCCAGAACCCGAATTCAGGAGGCAGTGGGGCATCGAGTCTCGAAGAACCTGTGGTGAAGACCTACGGGAAAGACATCAAAGGTATCAACATCATCAACAGACTGGCCCTGTTTTTTTTCTCTCTCTTGGCTTTGGATAATAAATTAATAGACATTTATTTGTTGTTGTTGTTGTTGTGTGATGCTGCTTGATGGAAATTGAATTTAGGTAGTCGTTGATTTTAAAATTGTAAAGCTGCTTGATGGAAATTGAATTTATGTAGTCGTTGATTTTAAAATAAATTAATAATAATTTATAATAATTTAAATTTATAGTAAAGGGTTCAGTGCCGTATTTACTTGGGTATGAGTCCTTGGTGCGTTCTTTACCTGAAATATTTTTGGGGCCGCACGGACAAAAAATTTGACCTTGAGTCAAGCTCATGTCTCGGCTTTTTATTATTAGATTATTATATATTATCAAGAAAACCAAGGATTAATGATTCGAAAATATTTAACTATGTGAATGAGTGTCGAATATGCTGATGAAGAATTTTGTGTATAATTTAGGAAATGTCTCAAGCTTCTGGATGACTGGTATGTGAAAGATGGAAAATCTAGAATTTTCCAATTAGCAAAATTATTTGCCAAAGTAAGGTTCCCCCCCCTCTGAATGTCCCATACTTTTTGAAATGTTCAAAAGAAATTAATTTCGTAGGTCTGATTTTTATTTTAAAAATTTGTGTTTCTTCATCTTCTTTAAGCTTCTTTCATTTTTTTCTGGAATTTCAAAAAGATTTGGACTGAATGGTTGAACTAATTTAATTAATGAAAATGCAGGCGACATCTGTGAGACATGTGGGGAGATGATTGAGTAGATGATATCTGGTTGGAGTGAGAAGCCAATCGATTTTTTCTCTCTTCATCTGCTATTATATTTTATTTGTTGAGATCGTCAAGTTGCACGGTTAGGCTGATGAATTGATAAATTAACATTTTTTACGCTTGAATTTACTTGTAGAAATATTTCATACCATTTCTCTAATGATATTGGATTTTTTGGCCTACATTTTTGGGGAAAATCCGTGTTGGTACCATATTTGATTAACTAAGCGGATGAACTCGTGAGATTTTTGTGTTGAAACACTCGGCTGAATTTCGGAATGTGTTGTTTCAGATGTACAATTTTGTTGTGTCAATTTTTTTTAGACATTCCGAAGTCCATGTGGAAGCTGCTGAGTAATCCTGTGTACGTGATCACGTGTCTCGGGGCTTGTATGGAACTCATCATCGTGTCCGGATTCCTGGTCTTCCTCCCCAAGTACTTGGAAACCCAATTCTCACTCACCAAGAGCCAAGCCAGCGTTTTCACTGGTTTGTTTTTTATATTTCACCTTGCTTGTATGTTTTTTTTTTTTATGCTGATGATTGATTCTGTTTTGTTTAGCCATTCTCACGCCTTTCTTATTTTAAGCCTAAATTTGAGAGTAGTTCTTTCTGGCACCCGAAAAGAGTCTACTTTCTTTTACTGGCTGTTGCATATCAAGAAGAAGATACTACGTAATAAAGTTTAAACATAAAACAAAAACTCTCAAATTAAAGGGTAAATGACAAAATGGCGCCTTGTTGAAGCAGTCGACTGCGACAAGAAAATCATTTCTTTAGGTATAGACTTTGCTTAAATAGTTTCCTTTTGCTGATTTAAATGTTCGCATTCTATCGTGTTTATTCTTCAAGAATTTTCTTCAATTTCAAAAGTTTTTATTTTTCATCTACAAATACCTGAAAGATGTTTGTAATCTTTGTTTTCTCACACAAATGTGTGCTTCAACTCACTCAAAAATATTTTGATTTCGGGAATGATGATCAAATGTTTTTATGCTTTTCGTATTCCTTCATCAGAAAATAGTATGAGTAATAACTAAGAAATAAGGTGCACTATTTATTCACGTTTTGATTGCATTTATTATTTGCTGCTTGATCCTGACTCCTGGAAAAACATCACTCTTGGATGCATTCTCTGTCAAATAGGTCAGGAACGAGTCTGCTTGAGAGCCCTTCAAGATCAAACAGATGTCGCGCTCACGTTTTTCATCCTGATTTCATCCTGGAATTCTTCTTTTGAAATTAAATTCCTTTCCGCGATGGAACTTGAACCCAATGAAAAGTTCATTCCTGTTCTTCTTTGTATAGTCTTGTGAGTTATCTTTGCGGAATTGAAAGAGAGAGAAGCAGGCTGTAATCAAATGTTGTCGTGTCTGGAATGCTGAAAGCGCCAGAGGGAACCTCGTTTCCCATTAGCTTTATCGAGTTTGTTTTCAGGCGCAGGCCTTGAAGCCTGTCTGGATTCTTAATCGCATTTGGCGATTAAGGTACAGTAGGTCTCTGAGGATGGAGAGAGACAGACTAGATAAAGTTGCGAAAAAAATACAGAATACAGAAAAGAAAAGTAGAAGATTAGCATAGAGCTGAGTTACTCTGTTCTTCTCAATCCGTTTTTAGGTAAGATTTATTTAGAAGAGTCCCTGTTGAGAAAAAATACTTTGATGGATCTCTTGAGATTATATCATAGTACAGGTAGACTATCCCTATTAAGAAAATCCAGGAGTTGTTGTGGAGAACCTGTATAAAAGTGGGAGAGAACTTCACATGGCCCAAAAAAGAAATGCATTAAACAAAGAATATTGATGTGAAATGTTTAGAGGCCACCTGCAGTACCATTAAAATGCAAGTATTCTAAGTTCACTCATTGGATTCTATGAGACTATATAGATTAAATGTATGTATATGTATTAAATGCCAAGTACTGAATAGTAAAGTCTTGATAAGTCAACACCATATGTGTGGTTGTTTAATGAGCATGGTGGTTATAGAAATGGTTTATCAAAAAGCTAAAATAAAATATTCACAATTAATATTCTTCTAGAAAACATTCAGAAGAACCCAGGTATGCATGACATATCTAGCGAATATAACATGTTCCCAAATAGTAAATTATTTCATCCCTTTGTGGTTTTTTTTTCTCATTTGGAGACCTCTCACAGAAACTTTAGTCTTGTTGGTGGGCTATCAAAGAGAAAATTAATTGGCATGAGTTGTTTTCTTGGGTGGCTTTTCTAATGTGGGTTTCAATGCTTTCATCATCTTCAAATTTGTTCTTCGAAATCAATTAGTGGTTGCCAACGGTGGTGGCTATTGATAAGACCCAGAATCGTCTCAAACTGACGTAAGGGACATTAATTAAGGCGTTAAGTTCTAAATTAACGCCTTAATTAATGTCCCTTATCATGACAGGGGAATACTACTAATACTACGTATAATGTATGATATTCATGATCCAAGTTTTAGAATTCGATTGTTTAAAGCATTTTATTGATTCATTTGTGCATACAATTTCTCAATGAAGCTGTATTTTATAAATGCATAATTTTTATTCTTTTTTTGAAAGGTGGAGTTGCAATCCCAGGTGCCTCAGTGGGGATTTTCATGGGAGGCTTTATACTGAAGCGATTCCAGTTGAAACCCAAGGGTGCCCTGGGCCTGGTGATCAGTTTCAATGCACTTTGCCTGGCATGCTACTCACTCCTTTTCTTTGTGGGCTGCGACAATCCCCTGATGGCTGGTACCACGCTACCGTATTACTCGTCCGAAGATGGCGCCACTGCAAAGGACTGACGGTACGGTAACTCTCCGAGACCACTACCCCAGTGACGGAGGTCCTCGAAACTCCATGGACATATTATGTAATAGTATACAAATAAGACGAGTCCCTACCAAAATCCTTAGGTTTTCATAAGTTTCCTGGAAATGAGTGAACATAGAAAATACAGCTAATTTAGGGATTGCAAGTAAATATTACAAGCTTATTAGATATTTACAAGCTTTTATGCTTCAAAAGGCATGTTCCATCGGTTGCACTTCATGTAATTTTATTTTCATCATTCCATTCTTAATTACAAGATTGATTACAAGAGATTTTCAGAGTGTAGTCTGAAATTTAATACAGTACACTAAGGACTGTTGCTTGTGACTGGAATCTGTATTTGAACTAATTTTTGTCAGACATTACAATATTACATACATATATGTGTGTGCTAAAATTGAAATTAATACTGTTAATAATTGGAATCTTGGATTTTAGTTCCTTTAAGTTACTTTTCTTGGTAGTGCAGCAAGGTGATATTATTCCTTAAACTCATGTTGACTTATAATTCCAGGTGAACTTGACAGCTGCTTGCAACTTTGGATGCGAATGTTCAACTAATGACGTGGAGCCAGTTTGTGGATCTTTACCTCACTGAATAAAAAGGGGAACAGTGCGACCTACGTGTAGAAACAGAAGAGCGATGTTAATGTCACTAACACGGACACTCAACACTGTAACTGTGTACAGGGACACTAAGTAACTAAACTCCATCTCTTGTTCTTCTTCTGGAAAAGGCATTCAAGCAGGAGTGAGCGGAAATGTTACGGGAATTGCGACAACGGCGGCTGATGTGACAGCGATTCCGGTTGCCACAGCTGGTCCTTGTGCCCCAGTCTGCGACTCTGTCATGGCGTTTCAGCACAACGACAAGAAGTACTGTAAACACCACCGGTAATGAGTCTACGGCGACGAGTACTAACACGACGCGAGACACCTACTCCTTCTCGCGAGAAAACGTGAACCGTACGTCATTCAGAACCTACCAGTAGAACTTAGCGCCAGTGAAACTCTTGGCCACTGCACCCATCACTCTCCTCTAGGCACTGCTACACAAAGTTTAATTAGTCGTCTAATCGAATTGTGTGAACATGTTTGCAGATCAGAACTTCTGAAAAATGTTTGCTCGGTTGTTTGCATCTTGCTAAATTCTCAATTCTAATTTTGTATATATTTAACAAGAACAGGAAAGAGAAGAACAAGAACTGTTCTGTTCTGCTTGTTAAATTCTGAACATTCTTTGTATATATTAAACAAGAAAGAGAGGGTATTAGGGTAAGAGTATTCTGGAAATTGGTATGCAAAAATTTTTATCTACTCAGAAGTAACCAAACCGCTGCAAAAATAACCTGACCCTGATAAAAAACCTGATAATTATGGGATAAATTTGCATCAATAATAAATTAAAAAGACAAATGTTGGAAATACTTCACATAAAATGAAAACTTCTGACAGAAGTTTGCACAATCGTGACGTTCGTTATTACACAAATCATTCTACAATTTCATTGATGTTCACGCAATAACATATAGAAAATAAAACATGGGTAAGAAGCAAAGAACAAGTAATTTTTTCCACCCACCCAAAAAAAAAAACCCCCATTCACGGACAGCCCCATTGCAAGAGGGACACAATCAATTAAATCGTGAAGGGTCTCTTGCCATGCCACCGCTTCGTGTTGCTGTTCTTCATGACATTTGTGGTGGCCATTACTCAGATGCCGCTGCTCATGATTGTGCTGCGCTCTGTGGATGAGGAAGAGCGCTCTTTTGCACTTGGCATGCAGTAAGTCTTGGATGGGCCCTTGTCTTGCCAGAGTAGAACTTTGCGCCAGTGAAACTCTTGGCCACTGCACCCATCACTCTCCTCTAGGCACTGCTACACAAAGTTTACTTAGTCGTCTAATCAAATTGTGTGAACATGTTGTGTGAACTACTGTATATATTAAACAAGAACAGGAAAGAGAGAGTATTAGGGTAAAAGTATTCTGGAAATTGGTATGCAAAAATTTCATCCACTCAGAAGTAACCAAACCGCTGCAAAAATAACCTGACCCTAGATATAAATCTGCATCAATAATAAATTAAAAACACAGATGTTGGAAATACTTCACATAAAATGAAAACTTCTGACAGAAGTTTGTACAATAGTGACATTACACAATGACCAAATCATTCTACAATTTCATTGATGTTCAAGCAATAACATATAGAAAATAAAACACGGGTAAGAAGCAAAGAACAAGTAATTTTTTCCACCCACCCAAAAAAAAAACCCCCATTCACGGACAGCCCCATTGCAAGAGGGACACAATCAATTAAATCGTGAAGGGTCTCTTGCCATGCCACCGCCAATGAATGGGGGGTCCTCTTTGGGTGAGTGTTCTTCCTCGGTGGGGTAAGGTGATCGTTCGGTAGTGCAGCACTGATTTCAAAAATCAGCACAGAACCAAGCACTTGGAGTTGATCCGGCGCATTGGAAGTGTAAAACAATTTTGGGCTTGTGAGGTTCCTCCGCCCAATTCCGACATTTGCCTCCTTCCCGAGCAAAAACTGATGCACCTGAATTATGCACCATGTAGATAAAATCTGACGTTATGGAGTACATTAATCAAAAATAACACAGTAAGAAATTTTCATTGATATTATTATATCAAAACATTACACATACATCTCTCTCTTCTACTGATCTTTTAAAATTCTCTTTACTGATCTGAGTCCTCCATGAATTGCAATATATTACAATTCATGTAATATGTAATATTATTGTAAGGGCAATACAAATACAATAGAAACAAAGATTCTATTGTTACGCTGATTCTTATGGTATAATTTTAGAAGGTTCAAGAAAAGAGGATAAAACACCAGCCATACTATTGATAACTGACTCATCTCTTCCATCCAGGTTCGTCATTTTCCGGCTCTTCGGCTACGTTCCTTCCCCCATCATGTTTGGGAATGTGATCGATTCCACATGTACCGTGTGGAAAAGAGGAGCTTGCGGTGGTCGTTCGGGCAGATGCCTGTGGTACGACATCGTCAACTTTCGGTACAAATTCGTTGGGATTTGCATGGGTCTCAAGATCGCCGCCATGTTGGTCTTCATCACCGACTATTTCCTCGTCCGCCGCAGACACCGACTGGAATCTGCTCAGGCCGGCATGACTGTGGGAGAAATTGTCAATTCCATCATCTCTTTAGACAGAGGTGTGACTCTCATCAAAAGTGAAATAAAATGAAGATAAAATTAATTTATTAAATTAATCCATTGTGTTTATTAAATCAATTTTTAGAGTGAGGATGACTGATATGAAAATGAAGTTGTATGGACTTTCTTTACAACGAATTTATTATAAGAGTTGGTCAGTAGTTCCATTCAGAACATTTTCATCTTCTGGTTTCATGGTTTTCTCTACAATCAAATCTCCACTGAATAAGTTATTAATAAGTTATTATTAATTGATAATGCAGGTGGACTCGCTCGCTGTGCCTCTCAAAATCGAGTAAATTTATTTACTGTATAAGTAATGCTCAGGTGTGATTGTACCTTTCCACGGACTGTAGTGGAAGTGTATAAATTAAATTAATGATGAATCTAATTCCATTGTATTCTCACCTGTGCAGGTTTGGAAGAGATTGGAGACAAGGCATCCGAAATCGTGTCCAGACGCGGAAGCAGAGCCCACAACCGCCTCCGGGGATTCTCCCTCAATGACGACGAGCGACTCTCCATGATGAGTTCGCGTTGCTGCACTCCGGTCTTGGACGACTCCGTGGCGTACTCGGTGCTCGACGAGACCGCCACAGCGGCATTTGACTCGGTTTTCGACCGCAAAGCTGAGTGAAAAAAAGAAAAAGAAAGACGAACGAACAAATGAATTTCGCACTTGATGCCAAAATGGAAGAAGATTCTCCACACTACTACTACGACATACACACATACTTTTTTGTTTCCCTTTCCACGATTGCACAAAGAAAGAAACTCTTTAGGGAAGATGCAGCTGCTGTACTCGGGTTGGAGAATGTATGTGATAGTTGAAAACTTGTTCTTTTTTTTCTCTTCCTCAGTCTTTCTTTTTCGCTGTGTGGAACAACATTTTTTGCCATGTTATAGCCGAGTGTTACCGATACTACATTTCATATTTGAACACATGTTCAAAGGATAGACGTTTTTTGATAGTTCACCTTTTCTTCCCGGAAAATCTTGTGGAAAATCTTTGGAAGTAAAAAGAAAAATGAAATTGCTGTTTGACGAGCGGAAGTAGATGTAACATGATTTTTTTTGTTTGGGTTGTGTTGTGATCAACCATTGTTTTATGTGGAAAAAAACAGCCGTCAGGTTGAGTGTTGAGAAGAGGCAATGGTAGGCTTGTGAGAGATGTCTGTTGTGATCGAGAATGAATTAAGGAAATGAATCTTGATTTCGCACAAACCGTGTTTCAATCTAACAGCTGTGCCATCAAATGGAAACATTCAAGGGATTTACGTTAAAATGTCATGTTAAAAATTGTTCATTAATTTATCTCCATGTTCATTCATGAGATCACATGAATAAGATACACTCAGATACTTGTGACACAAGTTAATGCAAAAATAATTGAGAAATCCTGTTTATGTTTCTTGATGCATTCTGAGGAGTAACCAATATTGATGCAGTTGAGAACTTTGATCTTTCTAGTGAAACCTCTTGATGTAAATTTTTTCTTCTACTTCCTGCCTGAATTCCCTTTGAAACAATACACACAACAATGCAATAAAAACCTTCCTAATATGGAAGGTTCCCAAGGGTTCTTCCCTTTTTTCAACCCTCCTACAAAGCAATTCGTCTGTTGGCCTTTTGAATAACATTTCATCAATACTGGAAAGAGGGAAGTAATATAAAAATGTATCTTGATGCACTTGGAAAGGAAGTGAAAGAATATTTGGGCAAATTAAGTATCCATAAGTTCAGTATCCTGTCAATACTCATCATGGCCAAGAATATCACTATTTCCTGTAACTATTGCTTTCCCCACAGAAAATCGATTTTTTTGTCCCTTTAAGTTAGCCTCAAAGAGATTCAACTAACTACAGTTTACAATATTTTCCAATGATGTAAGCTCTATGGGCATCCAGCGAAAGCCATAAAAAAAGTTTCGGTTGAATCCACGACATAATTTTTTGAAAAGCATTTTAATTCACAGAATCTATCTCTGCGTGAGTGTCATTGCAGCAATATTGGTTACTCTTCCAAATACAGTCCTGTACTGCTTCGACATGGAAACGAGTTTTCTTGAAGGAATAGCGACATCTATCCTTTCTATCACACAATCATCCTCCCTGTTTCATAACAGGCAAAAGATGTCGCTATGAAAAATTAAGGTAATACTGTACTCACTCATTGGTCACATTGCATCATTCAGTCAGCAACTTCCGAAAAATGAACTCCGGTTCCACTCATTTGTTTCAATATCCACGAAAGTTCTGTAAAGAAACAACAACAAAAACCCGTTCAAGGATATTCTGCCGGTTCAACTTCCAGGACAGCATGAAAAAATATGTAGCAAAAACAACTACAGAATACAGAAGAAAAAAACTCATGTGAACGAAAAACCAGTTTGCTTCGCACGTCCCAACTTCAACACAGCGATTCCTAACAGCACTGCATACCTAATATCTCCCGATATTCATATTCCTTGCATATCCCAGGCGCTGGGAATGAGCGAGATGCGTACTATAATAAGTTATGCATACAAACTGCGTAATTCGGTGAAGAATTTTCTGCGTGCAAGCGGAAACCAAGAGAACAAAACTCCGCATTCGCATGAACTTCCTGCGCCGTTTTGTATTTCAGGCCATGCCTTCGGTACGGAGATGCTTCTGCACATAATTATGCCTTTAAGAAACTCTTAATCCTTTTTTCATTCAGTAACGAATACGGCATCTGTTAATGCAGAAAACCTACGACCTCCTCGATTGAAAGATTAAAAATTCCGACACTTCATAATGCATTAGAATAAGACAACATCATACCCAATTTTGCACTAATTACGCAACGCTTAAAGACTGGTGAGTCATTGAACCTATGTATTATAGAAGCCATGCAGAGAATAGCATCCACTACGAAAAGCCTTCGGCAAATCTGCCCTTTACATGGATTAACTTCTTATCACCACTGAAGATATACTTACAAGTGTTCTGGAAAAGCTGAAATAATCTATTAAATTTCAAAGAATTATTGAATCAAACCCTGTACACACACGAAGATTTCTCCGCATTTCACGTGAACAAAAGCTACGATAAAAAACACACAGTAAAGAAGCACATTGCACGAACCAAAAGTAGTGCGAAAAATGGTCTTCAATCGACCGAAAGAATTACGCAATTCCGAAGGATATATCGTCAGAAGATTTATTTTGATGCTCTTTTCCGACACGTCTTCGCCTGAACACAGTAAACATCAAGAACCGAAAATATCCCAGAGGGAACACAAGCACTCTCGCACAGATCTCGTATTAGTTACAGCTTGGACCGCTTTATTACAACCGAACAAAATCATTCGAACTCACACAACACGAGAAACGATACACGGGAAAGTCAGTGATTCTTCAGATCATAGTTACATCGAATTCTTTAATCAACACGGTACGCGCCGATCGACAACGAAATTTCATTACGCACGCAACAGATCGGGTGAATATCGGAGTTATCTCGTACCAAATGGGATTCAGAACAGAAAAAAAAAACCCTCACGCTACCAACAAGCACACTTCCTTATTCTCTCACAATTAATCCACGCGAAGGAAAGCACAACTCGCTAAGAGATTAGCTTATACAGTACAACAATCCCCTTAACCCAATCAATAGATCGATTACCGATGCGCACGTTCACCGCGTGGCAAGGCGAATAATGAAATGTAGCTAATCGCAGTGACGCACGGGGGTCGCCATCATGAACCCATTCGATTGTTCCAACACTAGGTACTTTGATCGTGTGGTGTACCGCACTGTACATCATTATGCTTGGTGCAGTCTACAATACCTTTAATTGCCGAAGTTCCAACACTACATAACAGTAGTGCGTTTCCCGGAATGTTGACGCAAACGAAGCTGATTTCTTATGCCCCGAGTGTTGCATAAGCTTTCGATAATAAAAACTAGGTAGGGTTCCCGTTACCCCAGCTCGAAATGATGACGAACCTTCCTGATGCAACTTTGTAAGATGCAGCTTTCAAATGGATGACGTAACTTTCTGAATAAAAGCGAGATGCAGTGTTGCTTTCATCATCAATAGCGCCGCAAGTGACTCAAAAGAAAGTCCTATTTCACTGTGTGACCAGGGAAAATAGAAAAATTTGCCAGAAGGAAAAATGCAAATAAGGAGTGATTCTTTGGTGATCTTGGCAGTGGACAGAAGTGGGTCTACTCAGAATGCACAGTCCTACTGGAAGGCTGTCAAGCAAAAGTTCACCCAGATTATCAACATGGACCCTTGTGCAGAAATTCTTTACATTGTGTGGGATACAATGGCAGTGCAGGTCACAGAAGAAAATTTCTTGAAGTGTGTGGAATCTATGGATGGTGTTGGGGGAACCTGCCTGGCTTCACTCTGCCAATTTCTCTCAAGGTAATGACAATTTCAAAATGTGTAAAAGGTTGGATTAATCTAATGGATGATCCAACATGTGCTTATTGTTATGAAACTGTGCTATTAAAGGGAGTTATGAATATTAAAATTATAATAATTTCCTGGCCCTTCTACTGATTTAGTTTAATCCACTGTTGAAAAATGAAAAGAACATTGTTAGTTAAAACTTTAAAGTGACCTTCATCTTTGGAAAAATAATGCCCAGATATGACAATCATACTTGAGAGAAAACAAATATTTTCCTCAGCTTTGCCACTTTGAATTACAAACTGCTCAAACAATATTCCTTTGAAATACCCATGGGTGAGCAATCACAGTAGTTGAAATAACAGTGCTAGAATGAAATCAAATAATTAAGAGTGAGCAAAGGCATGAATTGATTTAACAATTATTTGGATGGGTGTAACTCAAGAAATGTTCACCTCAAGAAATTTATTCACAGATATATTTATGAAAAACACTTTGATTTTTTCTTCAAATGCAGTAAAACAGAAATTTACTTCCAGGTTCCTGAGATCAAATGAAACCAAGCCAGTGCATCTCCACATATGTACTGATGGACAAATCAGCACAGAAGATGTCCACTACAGTGACTCATTATTGGCCAATGTGGAGTTTCATACTGTGGATGTGTGCATAGAGCAGACTAGCCATCTTGGAGTGGATGTTTCAGTGGCTATTCCATTCTTGCGCAATTCAAAGTACACTGTGACTGCAAATGGAACTCTTGCAATGCAGGGGAACTCAAAGATTCCATTGTATCCCATCATCAAAACGTTGGAGGACTTTCTTCATGTGAAGGATGAACTATGGCATAGGTAATGTATCTAGATTTCATTAAGACTTGTTGATCTTATCCAGTGCAAGATAAGCTAACACTTGGGATATGTAATGACAAGAGCTAGTTTTACTATGTGACAATAAGAATGCATGCTCATGTAAAATTTCTCATTAAAAAGGCCCAACAGTATACAGCAAAAGCAATTTGACAGTCCATAGGGAAATTCCATCTTAGCAGGGCAAGTTGAATTTTTAAATCATGACATGATTCTTCTTAACATAATTGGGTCAAATCCACCTGGTAAACAGTTCAGTTAAAATGAATCTTCATTATTTGCAGATATTACCCCAAGTTTGTTGGACTTCAGCACCTTACTCCAGAATTGCAGCACTTCAAGAGCTGGCTGATTACAACAAAGAAGGAATGCATCAAGGCAGCTGCCCCCAGGGGCATACACAAGTTACTAAGACTCTTACAAGATGGGAAGGAGGATGAGGCTGTGGATATTTTGAGGTTAGGAAAGCCATGTGATGACCCTAGCCCAGAGGAAAGCATAGAAGCCCACTTTGCCCCTCTGGTTAACCTCACCAGTCAAATAAAGTTCCCCTTGGCAACTTATCTCAAGTACCCTGTCAGCAGGGTTGCCAGGAGACCAAATGCAGATTTTATCCAAAAGGTTGACCTGTGGGGAGATTTCAACACTGGTGAAAGCTTGGAGACACTATGCAACATTACAGGAGAGATGGACATTCCTGTTCTCATGATCAGAAAGTGTGATGCAGGACTGTTTAATAGTTTGGAACCTGCCTGTATTGACTATATGGTCACAATGCCACTTGATACTCTCCTCAGCTCCAAGGCTTGCAACAAGTTGGCATCTATACTGGATTTCCCTATTGGATACAAGGCCTATTTTCAATGGGTGCATACAGGTGGCCACAACACCTCACCTTACACCAGAGAATCTATTGTTGGTTGCATCCCCATCTCATCCCATCCAAAGCTGATTGCATATTCAAACAACATGATCAGTCATCTATTTTGGGGAGGAAAGAAGGTGGGCACACCTGTTCTCTGGATGTGGGTTCTGTACTTTGTCATCCAAGAGCACAAGGCTTGTGAATACCTCAGGTCAAGTCACCAGGACTTCATCAAGGTCTTCCTGAAGGTCATTGTCAAGAGAAGTTGTGAAGAAATGACTAGACTAGGGATGTCTGGCTTGGGAAACTTCCCTGCTACTCCAGTTCCTGTTAGTGTTGCTTGCTGGTATGCTGTCAGAGGGTCATCCCTAATATTTGCAGAAAAGAAGGTTCAACGTACTCAAGAGCGGCTTCTTCAGTTTAAGATTTCTCATAAGGAAAAATTAATTTATTTCAACAGGTGAAAATTTGTCTGAAGTATCACCAAGAGAAAAGCCAACTTATTTTTCATCAGATAATTTCATCCACCATTTATTGCATTTCCAAAATTTCAGATAAAGATAAGACTTCACTGCTAATTTTGATGAATTTATCAAGCTGAAGAAAATTTCCTGCAGACCAGCAAAAAAAAACTTCTGCAGATCTACTCTGGTCCACAACCATGCATTGGGTAACACTGTCTTGGAACAGATAATGAAATATCAAGTAGTTCACAAAATATTGCAAAGAATGAATTCAAGGATTAAACTGCATTATCAACATACCACCAAATCCTGATGCACAATAGATCAAATTACTGTAAACGTTTCTCCCTTATTTCTTAAGGGTAAGACTCCCTTGGTTAACGTTTTTTTTCAGTCAACGTTTTTTCCCCCTGCTCCAACTAAAAATGTTAACCGAGTTCAGGAATGTTAACAGGGGGGATTTTCCTTTTTGAAATCCAGAACGTTAACTGAAAAAATGTTGACCGGATGGGACGTTAACCGGGGGTTGACTGTATGCTCATTTTGATAATAAATTCATGGAATGAATCAAAATGATAGTCATTATCATAATTTTCCCTATACTTGAGAGTACTTATGGTTATTTTAATTTCCATTAAATTGTCAGACAACATTGAAGTTTGAGAGGAATAAGTGGGTCATATTGAAAGTATGGCACTGGGTTTCTGTTTTTCTTTGGTGGATGAAAATATGGATAAACTTGACTAATGCTTGCATAAGTGGGATTTTTTGAGTAAAACTTGAATTTTTTTAAAGGTGAAGGAGTTGATACATGGTGCCAAGCAGGCCATTGGAGAGACAATTGGTCACACAAGTTTACCAGACACCATGGGCCACTTTGAGCATGTACTCAACCATCTCCCAGTGGATGAAGAGGA